AAACACTCTTTGCGCACCAAAGGGTGAAAAGTAGATTTTTCTCTTTTCCTCCGCCTGCTGTGAAACTGAATCAAAAAGAGAACTACTTTGATCGGTGAGGCATTAAAGGTGACATGATTCAGACTGAACCCACGTTTTAGAAACTAATGCTTCATAGTGAAATGTAAAGTATGACTAGTAAATGTGTTGCAGAATTTATGACAAACCTTTTTTTTTTCTTTAATAGATAGATCAAAAGCTTCCCACATTTCTTTTGAATATAATTTTACCTGTTTCAAATTGTTAAGTCACCAGTCTTCTTTTTTACTTTCGTTTTTGTTTCTCATTTTTTTCTGTGTATCATGGCAGGCTAAAATATCAGTGACACTCGAATGTAGGGAAGTAAAGTTCCTAGAGGCAAAAATGCATTTTTGCTAAATTTAATTTGTTTATTTAAAGGCAGAAATTATTAGATTGCTCTTATTTATGGAAGCTCTTTATTTCGGTCACAACTCCCTTTCTGCTTCTTTTTTGTATTTTTTTTTCTCGTATACTTTTCCCCTCTTTCAAAACATCTGCGACAGAGAGAGAGAGGAAAAGCAGATTTCAGCGACTGTTGTCTCATCCTCGCAGCTTCCTTTTGAGTTTTTGAAACACACACCGCGCCTGATCGCTTCAAAGCTTAGCCTCAACGTCTTCTCTTTTGCTCTCTGACTAATTTTGATAGTAAATGATGCAGCGTAAAGCTGGTCTGTCTCTCCTTTATATTTTTAGGCGACGTAGTCATGCTGGATTATGTCATGTTTATCAGGTGTCTTTTGTGAAATAGGTCGGGGGGATGATCGTCTCCAGCAATAGCTATTTACATCACACGAAGGCAAACTTGGTCTCTGCCGTCTGGGGAAAAATTGTCCACCTCAAATCTGATTTGACTGTGTGTTCACGGTTTTAGTCTGACGCTAGAAAATTGTAGTCGAAGGCTGGCTGCTCTTTTTGTCATAGGCCCCTGAATGCTACTCCGTGTCCCTGAGTGTGAAAGGCAAGTTAAATTGTCAATGTTGTTGTACAAGAGTATGCTAAGTAATTATATAAATCTGGACGTGAGCACAGCGTGTGGTTTATTTGCTTCGTGTTTGTGTTTTTTAATAAATAAAACGACCAGTAATAGTGAAACTCTGAATCAGAATGAGATTACTTTGATCGATGATTCTTTAAAGGTGACATATAAACTCTTGAACTGTGGGTGGAGTGGTGTTAAATGTTGGCAAACGGTTCTTTTTTTTTGTTAGGTCCAAACTACATTTATGAAAGTGTGCCTCCACTAAGGGATGTTTCATCTGTCACGAGGAAACAAAGGGTTCCTGTGCTGAAACAGTCAGTATTTTATCGAGTGTTTATGTAACTATTAAATTCCAGTTTTGACATTTAAATTATTGTTTATGAACAAATTGAACAATATAAATTATACAATATGAGCACTGCCACACTCTTATCTCTAAAATGATAGGTCATATTGAAAGTGAAGCAGATATTGAGACACTAACGTGACCTTTTATTTATGTCGAATATGTTTTTCGAGTATATCTATGTCAGTTTCAAAATGGTCAAAACTAACATGTGAGCCGTAACCTGTGACTGATTGTGAGTTAATTGGTGTCACACTTGTTTTCTTCTTATAAATAAATCCATAAGTCATTCTGAAACTATGATGCTTTGGAGTGATAATATTACCAGAGCATCAGGGGAAATTTGCCTTGTGAATGTTCGGTTCGCTGCCTGCCCACTCAGTTTCGACTGGAAACAAAAAAAAAATCTTTTAACCTTTTCAGCAACAACAAATGCATGCTTAAAAAAAGAAGAGAAAAAGAAAAAAAGAGTGAAAATGAGGGAGGCTGAATATTGTCAGTTGTGTTTAGCTTCTTTTTTTTTTTTTGGACTGTTGACAATCAGATCAGTAAAAATCCTGCTGGTGATGATCCAGCAGAATTATGACTCGTGCCAGAGTCAGTTTGACTCACTATTTTTCACCTTTCTCTTTGTGTTTTTCCCCATTTTTAAATATATTTTTTTATTACACGTCTCATGTCACCCATGTCTGATTATTTCTTTCTGGTTTATGACTGAGACAAGTAGTTTCAAAATGAGACCGTTTTATGGCACGTTCTGCACATACAATTTTGATCATATTTAATTTTACTGGCGACCCAGTTGTTAACTGCAGTTTCATTGGAACAACAATTCAGAATTTTTTTGTCCCTCTAGAGTAGTTTAAATTTGAGTTGACTGCTCGTGCTACTTATATTTGCCTGTGCTGATTACTCAAATGCAGAAAAAAACATTGTAATCATTTTATGAAAATTTGTTTTATATTTATCATAAATATCCACCTTTTCCTTATAACCCTTTTGTGCTTAAATTGTATTGTGATGTAGTTTTAAGATGAAAAAAAATATTTGACAACTGCCAGGTTGTTGATTACTTCTGACAGCTGGTGAGTTAGTTGCTCCTTTTGCTGACTTCAATCTCTTATCTTAATTATAACCTTAATCATTTGCTGCAGAGTTTGCTGCAGGGAGTTTTCATATAGTGCTCCCACACAGTGGTTAGTTTAAGATATTAAATGTCAGAGTCTGTATGAAAAGTTTCTCTGGTCTAAAATGAGACAATAATTAAATATAAACATGTTTATGGTTTCAGACAAGCAGTGTTGCATGCTCAGTGTCCGTGGGTGGCATCACTTTGTTGCCATCAGTAACTGTTTGACTAATCAGTCGCTAATTTGTTCCGTGTATGTGTCGTGTGTGTGAGTGTGTGTGTCTGTTTGCACAGCTACCATATGTATTGATCTCTGTGCACACATGATCAGTAGACATACACCGATTAGTGCATATCTGAGGTCGTATACATTAGCAGTGAATATTTATATGTACGTGTATGTGCACAGTACACTCCTCCTTTGTTAATATATCTGCAGATCTGTGTTTATACTGTTTGTGCGTTTGTGGCTGCTTTTCTTTTTTGTTTGTTTTTTTTGTGGAGGGTGGGGGATGGGACTGGGGTCTCTGAATTAGTGTACACCAGCTCTCTGGTATTTTTTATGACTTTTTAAATACAGTGTGTGTGTTTTGTTTTGTATACACAGTCATTTCTCTAATTCTTTTGTCTTTTTATGTCTCTTAGTATCTGTCCTTGCCGAGATTAATATACATTTGCATCTGTGTGTGAAGTAATTGTTGTAATTGAATGCGCGTAAAATCTGTACTAATTATTTATAACTACATATTGTATAAAACTACATATTTGCACCGTGACTGGGCAAATATGTAGTTTTATTTCAGCATGTGTAGTTGTTTTTGTTTATGTCAACATAGTGTGTGCATAGCTATGTGTATATATTTTCTTCTATTGTCTGCATGTTTGTCTGTTTTCATTGCTCAGTGCACATATAATACTGAAGGGTGTGTGAGTGCATCCACACATTTTTGTTTTGTGCCATTGTAAAGCTACATGCAGTATTTGTGCATATTTGTTGTACAACATACTTAGAAGCACATACATCTATATGTGTTTCTAAGTATGCATGTGTCTTCATATAAGGGCAGTTATCTATGTTATTATGCCACCGTGTGTTGCTCTAAGCATGTGCTTCAGATTTTTTTCAGTGTTTATATTTTTAGCCTGCACATATGGTGTGTGCATATTATCATGTCTGTCTATATGTGAACTACATGTGCGTACATTACAACTTATGTAAAATTAGTACTCCTGCTATACCCAAGACATTGATGTGCTGTTGCAAGTGTGTGTGTGTGTGTGTGTGTACTTTTTACAAACTGTCAACATAAAAATGAAAATCATAACAGCAACAACAGCAGACAATAGTATGCTTCCTGTGTATATGCGTTTGTGAATGTGTATGTTGGCTGATAGTAGAGCAGCTGTGTTTGTGTTAATTAACAGGTTAACAGGTTTTGTAGCTTTCTCAATATGTTTGCATGTACAGTATAGTAAGTAAGTATACTAATAATAATTATACTGTTGTCTATGTGGACATACGACAGTTTTGTTTTTGTTATGTTAAGTGAATTTCTGCCTTAGTTGTAAATACAAATACATACAGCTCTATGTGTGCCCATGTTTTTGTCCGTGTGTGTTTATATGTGGCACTTGCTATCATCCATAAGTTTCTAGAGTACATGATTTTAGGAAAATATAATGTTAACATGTGTTACTTCTGGCTTTTTGCAGATAAGGATTAATAATATTTTAATAGAAAAGCCTGCAGAAAGTAATGGATACAACAAACACACTAAAATCAGTGGATTTGAACACAGTTCTTAACATTACAAACTGTTAATGTTTGTGTCAGTACACCTGGCAACAAAATAATATTTTTATTAGACTTTCAATGCTGTTAAAGGATTATCAGTCTGTAACACGTGTCAAATGAAGATTCTTATACATCTATCGATATATCGATAGATATATAGATATAGTGTCAAAAATGCTGTGAACCACATTACTCCCTCTACAGTCAGATTTGAAGCTGCTGTATTGCACAGCCCTATCAACTGAAATTATCAAAGCCCCCACAACGTTTAAAATAATAGCTTCTAGCCCTGAAGAAAACATTCCTAGACTTGAGGATTTGTAAATTTGAACTCTTGACCCTTACAGTGACAGGATCTTATCCCACGACGAAGCATTTTTATTCTGATGGGTGCGATCTTTCCCATTATACTCCAACTCATAGGCCTCTAGGGGGTCACTGAATGGTTTCAGTAATAGATTTAAATCATATGGTTTGGCCTTCATTTGAACAACTGTGTAAGATTTTCGGACTGAACAACATCATAAAAACATCAAATAAGGCAATAGGTTGGAAAAATGATGTTCAGCCCTCAAGTAGAGTTCCAAATAGTTGGTAAATCCATGCCAAGGTCCACTGAAGCTCTTGTAGCAGGATCTGGTGGTTCAAAATTACCTCCTGACTAATTTTAATTTGTCTCTTTGTCATGCAGGACTGTCCATGAGGTCTGGGGTCAGCTTACTTACACACCTTTTAGGTCAGTTGATGCTTTACTCTGTGTGAGTATTAATGCATGTGTGAGTATTAGCAGTTTCAATGTGTACAGTGGCCTGCGTGTGTGGGCTGCAGAGTGCACGTATATATTTGCATGCACGTGGACGTGTGAAAGGGTTTGTTCCCTCTTCTCGCTGCTCATCGTTTGGCCCAGCTGACATTTAAACATTCAAATCAGAGACTGTTTATCGTTGTTTGAGGGCCATGAGAAGATTTCATGTTTTGTTTTAGATAATCACTAGAGTCGCTTTATGTAAAGACTCGGTCTCTTACTGTAAGATCTACTTAAGAGATGCTGACGTCAAACAAAGGCTTCACATCTGCCAGAAGTCAACTTTTCAGGAACTAAGAGAGGCTTGTTTTTAGCTTCACCACCATGTTGTTGAGTCTTTTTTTTTTTTTAACTATCAAACTCGTGTTTTTTATAGCTCTTTAAAATTACTTCATGTTGTGTATGTGTGGTTTTTATTATTATTTTTTAATTTCTTTTTTTTCTATTTGGGTTCTGCAGAGGCAAGGTCCTCTTAACTGCACATGCAAGACTATCTCGCAAATACCTTTGAATTAGAAACATATTTCAGATTTCTGCCTTTACTTTTCATATACATTTTGTTGCAAGAGGAGGGATTTGATGAGGCTGACGAGGAGGAAATTGTATCTGTGTCAACAAAACACAAGACTTACACAATATTTTGAAAATGGCATTTTCAACACTTTTTTGATATTGTATTTCCTATAATATGCAATGATGCTGGCTGTCAGCATTTTATATGAAGACCTTGTTAGAGCTGCGTTATTTAGATGCTCTTTGTGAGGCCTTTGAAAGTTTTGTGTGTGATAAAATAAAGATTTTTATTTTTATATCAACATTTTATGACCAAAATATGCCGCAGATCGCTGAGTCTTAAGGCATCAACACTTCACGTCCTGAGGTAAACACTATGACAAAGGCCTGTGTTGATATATTAAACAATGATATCTATTCAGCTATTGCCAATTTCAGCTGCCTGAAATTTACTTTACCAGTTATTATGAATAAGTCAAATGTTCTTTTACTTTGATGAAGTAGTCTGCGCAACTACACCGCTGCCACTTGTTTTTAAAAAAATGACTATATGAAGGATATAAAAAATTCACATATAATATTATCTGTTTCCAAGCCCTTATTGTGTAATCTGTATAGGTGTGTCTTTGGGCAAGTTCAGCCTCTTGAAACTGAAATTCAAATGACACTCTCAGATAGTTATCTTTTCATGTCTGGATTTCACCTCCTGTTCACAATATAACAAACATCTACATGACACTCTTGCAGTTTCAAGTTATCAGTGGTATACTTCAGGCTGGCTGTACTGATACTGATTATAGCAGCATGATCTAGTTTTGTTTGTCAGAGTACCATAGTACCATTTTCACTACGGCTGTGTTTACGTTGGGTTCATTCGGTTGTAGCACTATGATATCTGTATCATTTGAATAGTGGGTGTCAACGTTTTTTAGTATTTCAAAGCCCTTACACCGTCCTAACTGACACACGGCACCTGTATGACCCACTTGTCTATAAGTGCAGATCATTAAAGCTAAAAGAAATCTTGGGTCCCAGCAATGATGTAGGAACTGCAGAGTTTGTTTTTTTTTTTAATCAAATTGTATCCTATTCAGCTTTTTTTTTAGGAGTTTTAACTATTCTCTAGAGCGTGCAACCATGTTCCCTTTTTTTAAAAAAAAAATGCTTAACGCTTTTACAATTAACACTATAAATGTAGGAACAATTACGTGCATCTTCATTCTGGTAAAGTAAATAGCTGTCATAGTAAAATCAATACTTATTTCACTTCTATTTTCCTTAACCTCTTCCATGGCATGCATTTTTTATTTCTCTTTGATATTTGGGCATATTGGGACCCGATGTATGTGAAAACAAAGAATTACCAGATTGTTGTTTCTGAGAAAAATGAGATCACATATGAAGCTATTTGTTTAAAATTTTGATAGAACAGTGGCAGTATAATGTCCTCGTAAGTGGATATCAGGCCCTTGTAGAGCAAAAGTTAGTATTTTGGTCTTGACAATCAAATATGGGATGTCCACATACGTGGACGCCAGGTCCTAGGAGGTTAAATAAGTGTTTTATGTGTGTATCACTAACTGCTAAATGCAAACCACCAGTAACTACCTCAGTATTCATTACCCATCACCATAGTATCATTTTTATTAAGGAATTCATTATATTAGTTACTAGCTGACGTACTGATCATTTCTCTACAGTAATATGAATCAAAGGGCATTTGCTGACGTACCATATATTGAGCTATAAAAATAGATCAGCATTCACTATCACTTCTACTCTCGGCTTCAGTCCTCTGTAACTCTAAACCAGCTCTCTGAGTCCACAGTTCCGTGAAGATAATGTTGGCAGCAAATCTGCAGGTAGGGAGCTAAGGTGCAAACAAAAACATTAGCAGCAGAAAGTTTGGAACCACTGCGCTCTTTGAAGTTTTGTTGTGGAAAGTTAAAGATTCCCTTGAATATTAGTCCCAACTTTGGCTTATTCTCAGTGGCTCATCATTGCGTGCTGTTATCGCCATGAAAGGCTTTAGTTCTAGGAACCACTTTGCTATTGTCAACATAGTCTGTGACCTGCATAGGAACCTCAGATAAATGTAAATATGCCACAGTAGAGCATATACTGAGAACTGAAACGTATTGATTCTGGATTTTCCCTGTGCTCCGCTGCCTGAGTCACTCACTGATATTAAACCTCTCACTTCCTTTTTGAAGCCGCTTTGTTTACCAGCCAACATGCTATTTTTACAGGAGGCCTCTGTTTGCTCGCAGAATCGGTTTACTATTGAAAACAATGTGTTCTCTTAAGTGCGTATTTTGTTTAGAACAGCACAAATACCATTGTAACCTCTCATCTTATACTAGAAGTGCATCAGCGGAAAGACGTACTTGAAGCAGTAATTAAGGCTGGAAACTCTACTTCATCCCAGGCCACTCTGTTTGCACAAAAACAACCAAACAAACAAAATTCAGGCAGGTAATGCTCACAAAATTTTTAAGTTTGGCCATATTGCTTCAGAATCTATAGAAAATGAGAAAAACAAAACAATAATAATCAGTCAGTAATTAATTAACATTTAATTCAACACGTGAGTGAACAAGAAAAGTTAGTTGCCATAACTATTTGAAAGTAGGTCAATAGAAGCATTACTGAAGTAATTATGATTTTATGTGTGTTTATAAAGTTATCAGTAACTCATTTGGAGTTAAAATGATTATTCACAATACAATCATTTGTTAGCAACACCCTTAGTAGTGAGGTGCAATTTATTTGTCCACTATGTACATATGCCAGGAATGTTAGTCCAATTAGTGAATAGAAAATATATGGGACTGACTGGAAGGTATTTATGGGTGTGTTTTTTCCTGTGGATAGTGTGGCAAGAGCACAGAGTTTATCTCGGTGTGTTCTGAGACTCATGCTTGTTTTATTACCACTGTTCACAGCAGGACAAAATGACCCTCGAGCTACGGGGAAATGTCCCAGTAGGCAGTCAGCCACTGCTTGTTACCATCTACAACTAACAGTTTTCTGAGTAAATAGTTCTAAATGCAAGTGAAACCAGACATTACATATTTTTTCAGATGTTGATGGCTGTACCCAAGTACCATCATGCACTGTGTGTCATTTTCAAAGTTAAACTTCCACAAAAAAAGGATGTGCTGCATTTTTGGTCAAGAAAGAGGTCACTGGTAACATGAATCATTCAGCAGTTCTCTCTTCATGGAAAGGAAGCATTAGTATTAGATACACTTTAAAAACACAGTCTTAAAAATATTTTTTAATAATTTGATTTCAGTTCAGTTAGATTTATTTAGTGCGAAATTCACAACTGTAGTCACCGCAAGCCTAAAGATTGAGGAGAATCCCCAGGAATCAGGTGATTCCCCTATGCGCAAGCACTTGCCCACAATGGGGAAAAAAAGAGCTCTTTTAACGGGAAGAGGCCTCTTGCAGAACCAGGCTCAGGGAGGGGCGGCCATCTGCTGTAACTTGTTGGGGGATGAAGGGGAAAGAAGAGAGAAAAAGGAGGGCATAGAGAGATCACAAAAACACAAACAAGGATTAACAAACGGTGTGATAAATGTTAAATGATAGAGTCGATAAATGTTAGTGCTACCTAGACAAACTAAAAAAAGGAATGATGAGATAATGCTATCGCACTTTTGAACATTTTGATGATGCTAATTAACTTTAAGGAGAAACTCTGAGGCCTTTTTCAAATTTATTCATTTTTCCGACATGTTTATTTCACCTCTGACTCAACTATGGACCAAGAAATTATTACAAACCACTGGTAGCTTTCTGTAGTGAAATATTAGAAGGGCCTTCTGCATTTGATTAGATATTTTCACAATACTCGACCTGTACTGGTTCAAAAATGAGCTCTCATCTTCTTCTTTCGGCTACTCTTTTTAGGGGTCTTTGATTTGGCAAAGATTTGATCCTGGATGCCCTTCCTGACAAAACTCTCCCCATTTGTCCAGGCTTGGGATTGATACTAGGAATACACTAACTTGAGGTCCCCCTGTGGCTGGCTTATTTTAACAGCAAAAATATTATATTTAAATTTGGCCTGGGAGCTAAAAGTGAAATATTGTGAATATGTTTACTTTAAGTCTTGTGATTACAAAGCAAAGCAATGAAAAGGATCATGTCTGATGCCTCTCATTCACTTCTGTGAAATCAGGATGAATTCCCACTTTTCTGCTTTTTGGCTTAAAATAACTGTTATTATGTACATTCGATTTGCTCAGCATTTCACTGATATCTGCTTTGGATCCAGCATGGAAGGTGTTTGTGCCGTTGACAAAAAAACACCTCCGGCCAACTCTGATCGAGTTCACAAATTTCTTGGAGACCTGGTTAGATCTCCGTGATGGGATTATCCACCAAAACAGGTTTTACAAGATGAGCATTACTGTTATGCTTGCAAAAATTTGTTTGTGAAAGGTCAGTGAAAGACTTTGATCGTACAGATCTGCAGATTGTGCTTAGTGACTCATTTAGCTGCATAGTGAATGCCACCAATTATGGTTCATTATCTTGGATAACATTTTTACTGATGGTTGACTAAGTGTCTTTTTGATGTGGGGGAGTCAAAACTTAAAATTCAGAAGTTTATAATGAGCTAATGTGTCGATTATTTATCCTATCCTTTATTTTTCATTCTATAAAGCATCAGATAATATTTGGAAAGACTTTCATGAGCTGGTATCTTGTAGTTATAACTATTTTCACCTCTGTTTATTATTGTAATTGCAGCTTCAGATCAATGGGAGTTGGTTTATTGTTTTAAAGAGATACTGGTGGAGGTATAGCATACAAATGTGGAGCAGCTGAACTCGCCAAGCTCAGAGCCTTTTGGAAATTTGAAGTTTTTATATTTGTTGAGTGTTCCAATCTGGTGTGCTAACTTTAGCTACTGCTTTGCCTGCATATAAAAACGATCTGCTCATGTTAGCGTAGGAGGGCATGAGAACTCTTCACTTTTGGTGTGAGGGCTGGACAGGAGTGCTCTTGGGTGCAGTTGATATCGTTAAACCACAATGTGTTGTTTTTCTGTTACTTTCGGTGTTAAATGTGGACTATTTAAGCTGTGGGTGTGGACGATTTGAAAGGCTGAAAGGGGTCTCAGTATGTAAGCTAATAAGTAATGGAATATTTTTTCTGCATCATGAGTTACATTTTTTACAATGTGTGCTGGTGATGAGTAAAGCACACATTGTAAAAAGTTTATTCCTCTATTGACTTCATTTTTTTTTTTTATTTAGCACCAAATCACAACAACAGTCGCCTCAAGGCACTTTATATAGTAAGTTAGACCCTACAATAATGCATACAGAGAAGAACCCAATAATCATATGAGCCCCTATGAGCAAGCACTTTGGCGACCGTGGGAAGGAAAAACTCCCTTTTAACAGGAAGAAGCCTCTGGCAGAACCAGGCTCAGTGCTAAAATGTATATAGAACACTATTAGCAGTGATTCAGCTGATGATCTTGAAAGGAAAACTAATAATGCAGATTAGATATTTAAAGCTTTATTTTGGGGCATTTAGCCTTTATTTTGGACAGGGCAGACAGGAATAAGTGGGAGAAGGAGAGCAGAGGAATGTAACGCAAGAAATAGTCCAGGGCAGAATTGAATCCAGGCCCCTGCATTAGTCTTTGAGCATATGGGTTACCTGCTCAAACATCTCTGCTATCCCAACACCCCATAGATTACATTTTATTCATTTAGGTTTTGTCAATTATCATCTGTAAATAGACAGCTTAGCTTTGTAAATAATAGCATGCTTGTTTCTACAGTCATGGCCTTCCAGCACTGGAAACACAGATGATTCATGCCTGTAAATATGATTTAGTCCAAGTTTTTTGGGTCAGATTTTCTGCAAAAGCATCAAATAAAAACCTCGGTGGTCCTGTGAATTCAGAATAAGGAGTCAGGTTTGCTGGGGTTGTACTGCTGCAGTGTAGTTAGAGGAGCTCTGGTGTGTGTGAGTGTGTGTAAAAAAAACAAATTTAAAAAATCCTAACAACCACTCATCATCTAGTGTGCTGCATATTCTGCAACTAGTCATTTTAAATCTCTAAGTACAAAAAGAATTCATCAGTGATTCAGTGCAGTATTTCTGCTATGAATTCTCGAGGGAAAACTGTGTCCTACTGTTGAAAATGTCACCACGTAAGGCCAAAACAAAGGAGGAACAGGATACAAAAGGATATAAATAGCGCTCCAAAGTTTTTAAATAATTCCTTTATAAATGAAAGATAGGAAGATATGAATATTAAAAGTTGACCGCCCACATCTGAGCTTCTTTCACCTTCTCTTTGTCTCTCACACATAAGCAGGCTTCATGTTTAGTTAAAACACACCCACACAAAAAGGGCTTTTTGCATCTGTCTGCTGTGTGTGGGATGACTTTTCAGACATGGTCTCATGTGTCAAACAATGCACTGACATGTGAATGGTGAGAAACTAAGTCAGAAGACTGTTGGCACAAAATGTTAAACCCGGGTTCCTATCACTTTCTCTCTGACCCATGTAGGAAGGTTAAGTGGTTAGAGATTGTTGTTTGTTTTAAATGAAAAAAAAACAAACCTTTGTGTGATTTGGTGTGTGAGTTACTGGAACATCTCTAAAACTTGTGTACTATTTTCAGAGAAAGTCAGGTAGTTGGATCCAAGTGTGCGTGGTTTTCTGGAAATTATTTTTTATAAAGATTTTATACGTGTATATTTTTTTTGGTACTCTGTCATCAGTTACTGCACCCATCACCCATGTACAGTGTTATTGGAACATGCATGCTTCACCTAATTATGAAACGATGTGTACTCATCCGGCATCTTTCAGTGGTTAAAATGTGAGAGACGATAAATTCCAGCAGTGAGGGCATCCTGGCGTCGCTCCAGAAAGTTTTAATTGCGCGTAGCAATGAAGACAGCGTCATTTCAGTTTTCCGTGACAAATTTGCACGTAAATAATGGGTGCTTTGCACATGACAAATGCACGCGGCTCTTTCTGTACGGAAACTGTGTTTCTGAATTAAAACTGTGCCGTGTGTGTGCTTATACCTCCGCATAAACTTTGCACCATTCATACAGAGACGTTTATGAGTCAGCTGAAAGGACTGTAATATCATATTGCACCCTACAAAACGATAACATCAAAGAATTTGGGCAACATATTATTTAAGCTTTAATATTTTAAATGTTGCAAAATAAATCACGTTGTAAACATGGAACAGACTAAATATTTTTTATAACAATTCTGCTAGTATGATTGTATAATTGTGCATAATGGTGGTATATTGGCTTCTTGGATGGTTTAGTGTTGCTATGGTATATTACCGATGCTAGATTAAGGACAAAACTGACATAATTTTTGTCCAGACAATTATATTCGGTGTATTTACATTAAAAAGCATATGTGTCACAGCAAATGCACACTTTAGAAGAAAACCTAGCGGCACTGAGATTCCAGAATTCCTAAGAACTTGGAAAAAACAAATGAGAAAACTAAATTAAGACATTTGTTTTATATTTAAACATCATTAAAAAGGAAACATACCGATGTCTTTGTCTTACAGTTTGAGACTCTTTAGATAATATATCTGCTTGTTTTGAAAGCCGTGTTTCCAGGACTCAATTCTTTGAGGTGATATGCTAAAGTGGGGATTTTTTTATTTTGCAGGTCTAAGACGCAGGATTGAGAAACAGTTTCACCGCAGGACTATCAGACTGGTTTCCACCACATTCACCCATCCTGACAAGCGGTGGGGAAACCACCCCAGCAAAGCTCATCTGGTAGGAGTGCACACATTTGTAAACTACTGTACTTGGCAGTCTGATTAGTGCCTTGTTGAAGATATCAAATATGTTTATCTGATTTTAATCCTTCGCTATTCCTACTGTGTGTTGGCAATGCATATTACACGCATGGATTATATAGTTGCGAGTGTAGTCAAGATCAAACATGGGAAACTCCTGACCCTAAGTTAAAGTGATTTATACACCTACCTGACATTACCCTATTTTGTCGAAGTCTGCTCATCTCCAGCTCGCAGTTGCAGACAATGTGAGCACTAGAGCTAGGAGTAATTTCATTTCATCTCACCAGTTCTGTGATATTGTTATATTTTGCCTAAATTAGCAAAAGCTGTAGTTCATTAGTCATTTAGGGTATCAAAAGTCCTCCAACAATGTCTCTCAGTTTCTGTATGCAGATTACAGCAGGGCAATGCAGTGATTCCTTCTGTGTGTGCTTTTGAGCAACACCAAACCTTATCTCTAGTGCCTGCTGATATTCTATTTCAACAAACTCCTGCATAGAGTTTAAAATAGTGCAAATACAGTGTGGAGCAGAGAGCCTGTGTGCCTTCTTCAAGACGGGCTGAAAAAAATTATAGTACGACCAACATAAATCTGCTTTCTTCACACTAAGCAAAGGGACAAAACACATCCAGTACTGTGTATAATATGAAAAATTAAACGTATGGAGAAACATTAAAGAAATTATGTTACTCCATCTGTATTTTAGTCAATTCGACGTTTCTGGTGGACTGTTAGTGGGACTGCAGCAGCTCAGATTAATTAACTAAAGTGGACTCTGTTCATTCATCAGCGTGTTAATGGTCAATATTGTAAACGTCAAGGTGTCAGATGGAGGGACAAAAAAAATGCAACTCTCGCAGTATGTGTGTAAAATACATCTGTGTGTTTTCATAGAGACTATCTGGAAACCGAGGCAGTCTCTGTGACATAAATATGAAACTGGTAATAATTTTAAGGAATATTTCCAAAAAAGGTGAAAGTTGAATCGAAAAAAAAGAGCAGCAAGTAAGAAAAACTACAAATTTATTTGAGATCGTATAATAAGTTTCTTTGTAGTGCCAAATGTAAGTAAACCTATTTGTCAAAGAAAGGGAAAAAATGTCTTTCTGGAACTCCCATAAACACAACTGATTATAAAACTGTGATTATTTGTGCTAGATTACTGTGATTTGTCCCACCAGCCACAACACGTTTGCACCTTTATCACAGTAATTTTAAGTGTGATTAAGTGGGGAGTGTGTGACAATAGCAGCTCATTTTTTCCTGACAGTTTGTTGGAAGGATTGCATAAGGAAGCATAACATATCAAGTATAAGAGGCTTGCTTGTAGATTTTAATCTCATGTCTCTTACAAAGACTGTTGGCAAAACTGCTAAATTGGTTACCGCAGTCAAAAACAAATGCAAGAATAGATAATCACATCTGAAAATGAATAAAGGGCACTTTACATATTAAGGTAAAGATCTAGAGAGAAGTCCAGTTTTGTGACCACGAGATAAATGTCCTTAGTTTTGCAAACCATTCCATGATAGCTGGATAACGTTCTGTTGGATGGAGACCCTGCCTTGTGCTCACTTCACTCACCTTGGATCATAAAGACAGAAATACAAGACAAGGAAGGAAATACAAACAAGATTGCTTTGCAACTACGTCAAGTAGTAATTAGGCTGTCGCATTTGGGGGAACAGTGTTATTGTGTCCAAAGTTATAGTATGGCATAAGTTTAACTGTACTGTTAATCGGAGGTCTAACAATGGAAAATAGGTGCCAGAAATGGTGCAGCTGTACAATAATCATCTTCCCTGAATATTAATGTGAAATAGCCTGTAAATGATGTTACATTCTGTTAACATAATTTGCATTATTTTAACAGATTTGATTCAACTGCACAGTTGTAGTGAGATCAGCATTAAGTTAGAAATGTTGCTTTAGTCACAATAGTTAGAATAAAGTACACTACACAGAGACCAGTCCCTGGGGTTTGGTCAGTATTGTGTTTTTAATTCTTTTAAATGAAAAGTGAAAATTGAATGCAGACCTGCAAAGCCTTATTCTGACAGCCACATAATTTAATTAGCCAACTCTCTTCAGGGTGAGTGCGTGAGAGCAAGTGTAGTATGATGGTTTCCAGTCTTCACTCTTCCACACGCACAGATGTGCAAACATGGTTGTGTTTGCATCACTTAAGAGGACACTGGCACACTTCCTGGAGACTCGCCCCAACCATAACCACTACTTACCTTAAACCAAGCCTTCTCCCTGAAATTAATTTACATCTACAGGAGACTTATTTTTCCTTACTAATAGTTAGCGGAGTCCCTACATTGTGATTGTGTAAACTGATTTTATGACTCCACAAAATGACTAATGCAAGTATACATGCACCCAATAAGCAAAAAAGTAGCAGATGTTATAGATTTTCCCTCTTGTGCAAAACAGCCTCTATTCCTTCACTTGTTTTGACAGCTGTGTGCATGTGTGTGTGTGTGTGTGCATGACCATATCACAATTTGTGGTAAATGTCCCAACTCTCTCGTTCTGGTCTCTGGCTGAGCCATTTATCTCCACATCCATCTCTCGAGTCAGCAAGTGAACTCCTTTTTCTGTAAAAATGTAAGCGGAAAGCAAGTCCAGTGGAAAATAAATCACTCACTCCTGCTCTATTAGCAGAGTACTTATAGACTCACATAGACATACAGTAATTAAGCGATTGCATTATTTTTGTAGTTTCAACTGGAAAATTATGAAATAAGACATTTACAGTCACTATGCACAAGTGCACAGTCTCATTACAGTATCTCACTAGCCCTTTGTGTAGATATTAAAATATACTTATTAGCTAAAACAAAATGTGACTGACTCTCAGCACTTAAGAAACATATTGTGAAATAAAACCAGGACTAGTTTAATGCAAATAAAATCATAGAAATTATGTTTTTTTTGTTACGTTTTCAATCAATACAAAATAAAAGTGAACATCAAGGACTGTGCTCATGTGTGTGTTGTAAATCAACCAAGCAAACAGGCTTTTTTTTGACAGGATTGTTGTTTTCAAAGCTCTGAGCTGTGTTAAATGTTATGTGGTTTCTCTGCACTGCTGTAGGCGGCTTTTGCTTCATTTGATCACAAGGGATCAGTAAGCCAACTTAAAATGTTGATTTGTTTTGCTCCATGACGATGGGCATCTCTGAGCTCTGAAAGCTTGCCTCATTGCTAGTTTGAATATTAATAGTAGTTTTTCTTCATGTGCTTTCCAGTGTTTGCATATATATATACCTTACTTTATTAACTGCCTATGGTGTGGGTTCTTAGCCAAATTAGACACATTTATTAGGAAGTAAAATTGAGAGATACGGACACAAAAGGAAAACAATTTGCCAGAGAGGACTGACAGGAGGATAACTTATCCACTGCACAAGTTCCTTGTTTTCACCTTTGATCTCCAGCCAATTCATACATCTGGTGTTAAGTACTCTGAAACCTGCTTATCGCTGATGCAGGTTTCCAATTTATCAAAAGTGACAATAAGAGAACAAATCCATTCATCCATCAAGCTGCTTCATCTCCTTCCACCGATAATGAATAGAGTGATTTAACTGAGAAATCCCATGGTATAACCTTTGATCTTTAACCAGTAAGCAATTTGTGTTAACACTCACAGGCTGCACATAATAAATTAAAAGTGAACATCAGTTAGCTTCAGTTGCCCAACCTTCAATCCAAATCTGAAAGTGCAAGAAAATCCCTTCTTCCTTTAGTGTGTCAGCCCTCACAGAAAAAACACAGTATATTTGTTACACTGTAAACACCTAGCTGTCATAGCAGTACTGCAGATGGTGCTGCATACTGGAAAATTATGCGGATTCCTCTTTGGAACATTATGTCCTTGCATCATTTTGTTTTTTCTGTTTTGTTTACAGTTTCTGGACCCTGAATCTTTCTGACTTTAACAAAAAAAAAGTCTAAATAGAACTTATCATTTACATTGACAGTATGCAGCCAGTTATGGCCACCAGTGAATGTCGGCCGTGTCTTGGGAGGCAGATGGGACTGTATGCTAATGAGAAGGTTAGTGCTGAAGTGTCCTTGGGCAAAATACTGAACCCCAAAATTGCCCCCTACATCTGTCTGAGTGTAGGTAAGTTAGAAAGTGCTTAAAGGAAACCACTCCCTATATTGAGAGATACAACGGATGTTACTTTTCTTTCATGAAATATATCAAAACCTAATGAGGTTAGAATTAGAACAATTACACTTGTCTGTCTGGAACAGCTCTTTTAAAAAAACAGCCCCAGAAATGGAATTGCTCAGGAGCTCTCATGACACATTTTTTTTATGTTGCATTTCTGGATTTAGAGCACGTGTCCCTAGATTTCTGTTCTCATCTTGTATTTGATCTGTTTTTGGGGGCCGGTGAGTTCTTTTTTTTCTTCCTTTCACAGGATTTATTTATTTCTGTTATTTCTTTGCAGTTTACTTCTCTTTGGCTATCTTGGTTTAAAAGCAAAGACTAAATTAGTACAGATACATTTCTTTTTATCTTCCAAGATCATGAATAACAGGCAGAGAAAAGCTGTTGCACTTCAGTTCTCACTGTAAATGGAACTTAGTCTTCATATGCAACAAAACTGCACAAATTTCCTGCTCTTTTTGTCAAAAACACAAAAAAAGCTTTAAGCTTTGCTAAAATTCATCTTCCTTGAAAGAGAGAGAGCTACAGCTCCATACAAGGTGTATGGAAAAGAGCACAAAGTCTGAAGAGGTTAAAGCTCCAGCAGTGCTTTTAATATAAAGAACAGCTTCTGTGCATTTCGGCTTAATCGAGCACTGACATTGTTCTTTAAAAGTAAAATAACTTGTATCCTAAGACAATTCTGTTATGGCTCCTGGGTCATTGACTCAGAATTTTGAGATTGTTCTCTTATTTCAGTTAAGATTTTTCTTATCTATGATATCCAGTGTGCTTATAATTATGTTTGGATTTTGTGCTTGAGTTCTAGTTTCCTGAATAGAATAGAATAGAATAGAATAATCCTTTAATTGTCCCACAAGGGGAAATTTGGTTGTATCAGCAGCAAAAACACACATATAGAAACAGAACAGGACACAGAACAGAAACAAAATTTTTACATATTCACATCATGGACAATAGTTACCAAAGTTTGAGTTGATGTTTTTTTTATTAGCATTCTGCTTTGGGTAATTTGGTATAGTGTCTTGTTATTTTTCTTAGCCTTCCCTCAGTGTAGGAGTTCTAATGTTTCATTGTTTCCTTATTTTGCCAGTCCCTCATCTTCAGTTTTGTGGTTCCTTGTCTTGTTAGTTAGATTCTCTTCACCTGTGCCTCGTTTTCCACAGCCGTGTCCTCTCCTCAGATACTTTGTGTGTTTTTAAGCCTTCAGTTTTCCTCAGTTCTTTGTTGTGTTCTCCTACATGCTCTGTGCGCCTTTCTTCTGTGGTTTTCCTTTTGACTCCAAGGTTGCACTTCTAGCTCCAGCTTAGTTTTGTTTTGCATTTCCTTTGAGTCCCAGTCTCATGAGTTTACCTTTACTCTGCATACTGGGTACTAAATCTGCCTAATGCACAGCATATCGTGACAAATTCAATCTGCTGTCACATCAATAACAAACACACAAAAGGCATCAATTTAAAGATACAAATTCTTAATTTAAAAGCAGTGCCTTTGGTTTTATCGCATCAAAAAAAAAGTGTCAAGATGAACACTAAACTTAATTTTCTTAATGATTCATTTGGCAATCTGTCAAAACTGAAACCTTTCATATTTAAAAGTTAGAAAGCACAGCGATGATGCCATTAAATGAACTGATTAACATTTATTTATTTATTCATACAGAGATCTGATAATGTTAAATATCTTAACACATTCAGTTTTGATAAATGCACTCGGTAGAGGGCTAAATGCAGATCCACTAAAGCAAACAGGGAAGACAAAGCACCCACTCATCCATCAGACTGGTTAATCTAGTCCTGTACCTTCAGTAAATTATTCATCAAACTTGTGTTTTTGTCCTGAAAGAAAAGAATCACTGGAGTGAACGGGCACTCCCGTTGTATACCGCTTTCTTCAAAAAGTTGTTTACTTTTGAGGAGAAGCAGATTGTGGTTAAAGTGCTGCGAGTGTGAGCAGTTTGAGCTCTGGGGCTATTGTACAAATTAGTAAGGGTATTTATATAACGGATATAAAACACTGTTTTTTCTCAGTGTCCTGAGATCCGACCTTATGCAGCTACGCTTTTGACAATAATCTCAAACCCTAAAAATTTAGATTTAGAGATTTAGATAAAACTTTATTAATCCCTCGGGTGGGTTCCTCTGGGAAATTTGTTTTCCAAAAAGCACAGCACCGACAGAAGTTACAGAGTTAAGAATATTATATATATATTTATATACACACATATATAAATACAAAGACATATATAGATAAAATATACAAAGGGGATAAATAGAATAAATAGAATAAATCCAGCTTGTAGTAGAAATGAAATGTCTTTCACAGCAATACCGAGTCTGAAACTAAGTGGGCCTCCACTTTAAAAGGGCAACAGACTAATTTATCTCCTTAGCTCTTAGCAGAATGATTAACAGCATCACCAAAGCAAAAAAAATTTCTAGCCGTCCGGCCTGTAGTTGGTGCAGTGTGAGGAGAAAGGGTGGGTTATAAATGGAAGACTGTAATTTATCTTGTTGCACGTCTTACAAAGTCTTTAATCACAGTGTTCACCTATGGTACTTTAAGATGGCTAAAGACATTCATCCTCAGGAGGAGATCCTGTCAGTTAGGGGACAACTGTAGAGATTTGTCTTAATAATGTGGTCGTGTACACTGTGTATACTGTGTCTGTTTTATATTGTGCAAACTTACATAAGAGGGCTCAGTTTCCGGGGATTTTAGCTGTGTCGTTTCTCCCAAAACTAATTTTAAATAAAAGCCAAGAGCAGAACATTTATAGTTGTGTAAAATGCTAGTAGCAGCTGCTCTTTAAACATAGTGTGCAGAGACGAGCAGGAAATACAAATTATTACATTATTTGTGAAAAAAAACCCCCAGGTGATTTTAGAAATTCCTTGCTGCAAGTGGATCTGTATTAGAAAACATGTATTTCTTGCTGAAATAAGACATAAATTAACAAAAATAGTAAAAATAATAAATGAACTGGAGACTGGAAACATGAATGATGAGTCTTAATGATCAGCATGTTGTGTTAAAAAGTAACCTCAATCAAACAGAAAACATATGGTTCATCCTCAGTTAAAACACTTGCAACTAAGCATAAGGTTTCCAAAAAATTCATCTGTTAAAGGCCTTAAGCGTAAATGTTGGCTAACAGCTTTCATCTTTTTCCATCTTTTCCACTGATCCACAAAGCTAGGGTTCCTATTGTCTGTTGTGTAGCCAAAACTGTAAGGTTCTTTCTTCAGACGGAGCCACAGAAACACTTTGTTTTAGTCTGTTTAGACTGTGCAGACAGGGTCCATTGTGACTTAGCACAGCAACCGTCATCCTAATAATTAGCCTTAAAACTAAATCTGATATGGTAAATTCTGTTTAAGCAAGTACAAGTTTCAAAAACTTTAGCCTTGACCACACATGCATTAAACTTTGTTTTTAATTATAAAAAAGTACTTATTATTTTAACAACTCCAAAGTTAGAGCGTGACATTCAATGGAAAGTAAATAATGTCAGGCCTGTAATATTTTACTGACTATAATTTAACTGTATTTCTTGGCAGAGATTATACTTCTATGCTCAATGGGGTGTTATAAGATTGTGTAACAGAAGAAATAACCACCAATTTATAATTGGTTAATACCTTTGACTTAGAAGCTCACAGTGAGCGTCCACTTTTTCAGCCCTGCACTGTAAGTAATTACTTATTGTCTTCAGTAAAAAACTGCAACTGTAGAAGTACAAGTTTAAGAGTTGTTACTACAGAACTCCAAAGGGTTCACAAGCTTTTTCTTGAAACTGTTATCATCTTACAACAGTTTATGGTGCAGACTGTTTCCTCTATATTGAGGTTCTTTTGAACCAATAGTTTATGCAACAATTTTTCTTTTTAGACGTCTAGGCTAATAACTTAGATCTCACCTGCTTCAGAGCTGGTAAGGCTTGTGAGAAGTCTCAGATAAATTAAGGATGAACAAGCTAATCTGTTAGATTAAATGGTCAGGGTAAAGGTAGCTATCCAAACTTTTCTCCAGGTTCCAATTATTAGTGGAATACACACACGCACAAGCTACTGTAGCATGGTACATATTCACCTATAAGCAGATTGCCAACGTATTATGCCTAGTAGTCTGGACAAACTGGCGTAAACAAGAAAATGAATAGATGATGGGAGGATATCTTTGAAAAGTGAGTGTCTTTTTAATTATTTTCATGTCCAAACCTAACTTCTATAATTGCCGAGGCTTTGTCTGTGGAAAAGGGAAGGAAAAAGAAACGACATACACCAATAAGTTTAATAAGAGTGGAGAATCATCTCTGGATTGTGAATTACATTGTATTTTTAGTCATGATCACAGCCCAATTTTTCCTTTGTTTTGATCATTGTTGCCGTGTGTGTGTGTGTGTGTGTGTGTGTGTGTGTGTGTGTGTGGGGAGCCAAAGTGGGAAGCTACAGAGATGTTGGACAATTTGACACAGATGTTTCTGTGAATTTATAAACACTAGGTTGTAGTAAAGAAATAACATCCACTACATTTGCAGTCCAGTTGTTTTTTTTGTCTAGACTTGTGTTTGTGTTTGCAAAGGCGGTACTTATCTACTCTAAGTGCACAGAAGCACAGAAGCTCACTTTTCCTGAAGTTTGAAAAAGTTAAGTCTCCTAACTTTGCTAATGACTACATACGAAAAAGGACAGTTGAGAACCGAAACATTTTAGAGATCAAATTGTGCGGTAGCCTACGTTTCAGTGGCATAATTTAGCTTTATACATAGCTCATAAAATGATACATTTCATAAACTTTTGTGAACTCTACAGACATGTCTAAAGATTAAAAACCTACAAACTTTAAACTGTAGCTGTATACTTTCTGATAAAGAACTTTGCATGTCTTTATGCTGTTCAGTTCTAGTATCTAAAAAGGAAATATGAGCAGAGCGTCACTCCCAACGTTTCACATACAGTCACAATTTACTGCACTGGGCTTGGAATCAATTTTTAGCATGCAGGAGTAGTTGTTTTCAAGTATATTTTTGGGTGAAAATTTTTGAATAGGTGTATATTAAATCTTTTTATAGTTTTGTAATTGAAATTAATTTCAGCATTATAGTAGGTTAATATGCTAAAACAACAGTCTACAGAATATTGCCAAAGGATATGTGTCATAAAGCGCAGACTGAACAGAATCAGAAACGGAGCAGCCCTGGGTTCCTCGGCGGCAGATATTCAGATACCTTCCAGTTCTCTTCCTTACTTCCTACTACTACTTCCTTATGTGGCTCAAACACTGATAAGTCTCCTTATGAGGCCTCGCGATGCTATGCGTCAATAGCCCGTGAGGAAAGCCTGAGGGTGCAGGTGCTCTGTCTGCCACTGTGTTCAGAGCTGTATGTGGATTACTCTTGTGTAATATCATCACACGCACACACAAGCACACCGTTCGCCTGAGACGGATTCTATTCACTCGAATTTGAAACACTCCGTGTGAGATAAATGCAACATTTCTAAAATATGCGAGCAATCGCTGTGACCAAGATTCTTGTGCTTGACACAATGAGATACCTTCCTTTCGTGTTTTATGTACACCTTTTAACAAAATACACTGATTAACTAAAGAATAGGGAGTAAATAATAATGAAGGTAAAAATCAACATACTCATAAAATATTCAACATAAATCTAACTAGTTCTAATGATTAAATGTGGTCAGAAAACAAAATGAAATGGCAAGTAAAACTTAAACTGGTTTGTAATATTCCTCCTGCTGTTGAGTCGCAAATTGAAGAAATGATTCAGCCGCCACTCTGGTTAAAAGGGAGTAGGCTTCTGCGTTCAGATGTTGGAGACACTTACAGCTTTGATATGAATTTGATTTGAATGTCAGCCTGATACATACATTACTATGCACCAACCTTCATCGGTAATGCAGTGTGTAGTAGCCCGAGAAAGAGTTATAAAAAAAGATGCTGCTATTTAAGCAGTCCTGTGAATTGTTTGATGAATTTCTTTTCACAACAACAGTTGTGAAGTGGTAGTAAATAAATCTAGTAGCGCTTTATAAATAGATTGATTTTTGATGAGTTTAAAAATGTTGTCAGTGTGGTATCAGTTGAGAGGGAGACATGCCCTCATCTCCTAGGATTTGTAAGTCTAACTAAGACATTTGATCCTTCAAAGGAAAATTTCCAAAGGCTTTTAGAAAATAATCAGATGTTGAGCATGAACATAACTCAAAATGTGTAATTGTAATTGAACTCAGCAAATGCAGCTCAGGTTGTGCTGCATATAACGAGAATGCACATGTGGTGCCAACAAGTGCTGTAGTGTGTGCTGTAGCTAACTTATAAGGGTTTATTCTAAAACATTTATTTTTGATGTTGGAAAACGTATTGTGATTGTGATTGTGTTGCATTGTGTGCTTTTCTAACTACAGTACTAATGATGCCTAATAATATTAGATGACCGCTTAATGCAGCGTCTGCTTATGTTTTAACAGTTTCTTTATGTCTTTTCCTACACTTAGGATCATTTCCATGTTTTCCATGTCTTGCCCTGCATCCTAACAATATTTTTCTCTGGGTTTGTTCCAGTTGAGATGTTGCTGAGGCACTTTGTGGTTATGACCTCATCATCATGAGATGGAAAGGCTGGTGACTGCAGGCAGCTACAGAAGAGGTGGTGCTGTGTTGTGGTTTGCAGCTGCTGGTTCTTGGCAAAATAAATTGCACTGTGGAGATGCCTCAGGGAATTATTTGCTCAAAGGTTGAAAGGATGAACAAAAAAAAGGAATTCAAGAGATATTTGTGATTCATACTGTGTTTGTCTGTAGTTGTGACTTAGATGTATCTCCTATCAAATTTCGTAATCAATGGAGAAACTGTAAAATATTTAAATATTTAAATATTATTATTAAATATTTATTTATTATTTTTAATCAGAATTTTTTTTTTACACCAGCAATTAAGTTCCACAGTTTAAGGACTAACTGGTCTGGTTGACTGACACTGCTGAGTAACACTACAGTGTTTTAAAACTATTAACAGGCTGCCATTCATGGGGCGAGTGGGCTTCATGGCTATTGTCACACATTACAACCACGTAGTAAAATTTTAAAAAGTCGTTACTGCTGAGAACATGTCATTCATCAGAAATGTGCACACATTTTACATGACAGGAACTGTTTTTTCCCCACTTCTCCTGAAATATACTACATCAGGAAAAAATGGTTTTTACCCTAAAATTCCCATGTTATGAGCAGGGTTTTGAAAAAATTTTCCACTAATCCATCCTGAGTCATAGGTATGACTTCAGCAATGTTAGGGAACTTCTTTAGATGGTGTTAAAGAGCTTAACAGGGCGCCTCCTTGTAGGAATGTAATGACTCCACTTCTGTTTGGAGACACCCCAGACCTAAAGAGCTCCTCTTTTCTGTGTTTTAAGAGAAAGACATACTCCTCTCTTTTCTACTTTTTAAATGTATCCATACTCTGGCATTCATAGGAATTGGCATTAACACGAGTAGATAGAAACTACGTGAAAAGTGAGTCATGCCTAGAAAACCCTGACCCTAGAAAATGTTGATATACACTGCTTTATTCCCTTAACTATATAAAGATTGGTGCCTGGAATTTTTTTTTTTCTGCACGTGTAAGATTTGTAACATGTAACATTTCCATTCTACAACATGAAGTGGGAAGACTACATGTAGTCTTGTACCTACAATCGTGAATTTCAAGGCCTGATGTGGATGCTTGTCTCACCTACTTTTTCCTTGTACTTGTTTTCCTCTAATATTACGATTAATTAATAAACTAATTATTCTAGCTTATGGAATTGATACATTTGGCTGTTAATTATTAAAAAAGAAGCATACACTATTTTTATGGGCAAATTAATAATCTAAAAGAAGCTTTGACAAATCAACACTTTTAATAGTCAATTAATAGTCAATATATGACCCCACCCCCCTCCACACACACACACACACACACACACATAGAAAAAAACCCATGAAAAATATACGACTTGGTTTAGTTTGACCTCTGTTACATTGAGGCAGTGATATTTGAGTGCTGAGCAGGAAGCAGGTTCTCATAGCCGTGTCTTTTTCCCCATGTTGAAAATGATGGCACAGAATGTAAGATTGTAATGTATGAAGTACCAAGGAAATTTTGCTATGAAATAAAAAAATTAAATAAAATGCAGTTTTTCTTAAGAGTCGTGGAGTTTTCAGGTATCATGTTTAGGAAATGCTTCAGTGAAGTGACACTTTTTAAAGCAAGTGGGTGATTGATCGGTGAACAGAGGAGTTTAATGTGGCATTCAGGTTCAGGTGTAATTTCTAGCACAATATGCCGATCAGTATGGTACATACAAAAGAGTGGACAGGAAAAGAGCTCAGTTTGTTCATATGGGTAATGCAGACAAAAAAAATACATTTGCAGTGTGTGTGTGTGTGTTTGTGTATTGTAAAAGGAACCGTGTAAACCTAAAAGAGGGACAAAGACCAAAGAAGGAAGAGTGCATGTGAAAAAGAGAAAGACAAAGTGGTGAGAGAGGGCGTATATCTTTAGCTGCCTATAAAGCTCTGCGTGCTTCTCATTTTAGGCAGAAGTGAATCCTGGCTGTAAGAAATGATGACAATACACTAATAAAGCATCTCAAACTGAGGAACTTGTCTGTTGTGTTTGTTGGTACTTTAAGGAGCCACAGTTCACATTTCAATAGAAGATGTTCACATTGTGTACATTTCGTTTTGTTCATTCAGTTCACATTCCTTTTTCAGTTTGTTTTAACTGGACTGGCAAGTATAACTGGAAAGGAAAGAATAACTGAGATGTTTACTACAAATTGGGTATCTCTTTCCTGATCTATTAAAATATTTATGATGACAAAGCTTCAAATGGATAGGTGGCACACGTTAATGTGAATATCAGTGTTATTCAGGGAGTGTTGCTTCCTCTTGGCTAGGACATAGAGTGCAATTGTTGATAGCTTCAAATGTAAACCGTGTTCTCACACTTTTAGATGGACACTTTGGCTCCCAAATATAGACTCTTTTTTTTTGTTTACAGCATTGACACTTAGATCAATTGAACTACAAGTGACACGATTATCTCAATTCTTTTCCTGGACCATGAACTGACTTGTGAAAATAAACAAATAAAGTGTTGTTTTTGTTTTTGTACAGATTACTTTACAGATAGATTATGACGATCATTTGCGTTATTATTATTATTAGCTATTTTTGTTGGCATTGTCATCACCACCACCTGTGCTTATAGATATATGTAAACCACCACCTCCTGTGCTGATTTTTAATGTTAAAAACACAAGTATTTAATAAAAACTATAAAAATGAGATGGGACGTCGGACATGCCAAAACAATCACACAACAGTTTTACCATTACCAGTGAACTACAAGTGAGATTAATATGATTAGTTTGAGCCAAATATGCATCCATAAACTTTCAAAATCTCAGTATAAAGCATTATTTCCTGAAAAATCTTTCAGCTATCTCCTCTGGAGTCCTGGAAAAACTCACACCTGAGTGCCCCTTTATTCTATAGTGTTCATTTGCTCTTCAGTGTTCTTCAAAGCTGTTGAGATCATACAAAACTGCTTAAAAGGTCAGATCACTAAATGGTTTGAAGGTACTTCACCTCAGTAGGTCAAAGGTCATTTAGCTCAGTGATGTGTAGCTAACATCTGCCTGCTACTTATTTCACTTCAAGTTTTTACAAGGTGCTAATTGTGTGCAACCAGTACTATTCTAAATGCATGAGAATGTCATCATGTCATTTCCGTAGCTACAGCTTTAAATCACCAGAGGCAACAGCAGCTGTGACACACAGCCCATGCACACTGACGTTTAGGTACATTAAGCAGTCATGATACATGTAATTTTACACAACTTCTACTTAATATGCATACATAAAATCTATATTGGACAAATGGCCACATATACTTATTTAGAAAATACAAATTAAATTAAGCTCTGCATAACATAAGAACGTTCTTAAGAACAAAAGTAATCCAGTGATAGTTGTCAGTTGGTGGTGATGATGGTTTGTCAGCGGTTTACACCAGTGGTGTGGGGGGAAAAGGCAGTGGAGATTTTTTGAATAAGTTTAGTCTGAAACAGATACACCTCTTACGAGTAAAAGTTTCATTAATCATTAATCAACTTCTCTGGTTTCACAAATGGGAGGTTCATTTTTTTAAGCTGAGGTTGGATAAGGTCACAGATATGCATAAACAGGCACTGGTTGTTGAGTCTACACATGTCAGAGGGTGTCTTCTGTGTTTCTTTAAAACTATTCTTTTGATTTCAACAAAGTTACTAGTTTGTCAATTCCAATAACAGTTTCAGTAATCATCACATTCAACCTGCTTAGATCTTAGGTTGCAGACTAAGAAAATGCAGTGTTGTAAAGTACTTTGTTCCCAGTAAACTAAGATTGAAAAAAACAAATGTTAATAAATGAGTCCACAAACACAACATCCTTGCAGAGCAAAGAGCAGACTGGAAAGTTTGGTGTGTCTGTGGCTTTGGTTTGATCAGTTGATCTAAACAGAGATTAGATGTGACAGACAACAATAGAAACTAAAAAGGACTGGCTGTAATACTGACGTTTTGATCAGGTCATGTGCAGTGATGCACACAAGATACACCAACAGATGGATGAATGCCAGTACACAGTGTCAGTTTATCCCAGTCATCTGCCTATAAATGCTTTATCTTGACTTTGAATCTTCGGGGAGACAATCATCGGGAACAAATGGGAGACAAAACAAGGCTGATGTGTCTAAAGGAAATGTGGCTGCATGATTACAAATGTTATTAACTGTAAAATCATTTTATTTGGACAAGGGAGTGAAAACTAGTGAAAGCTCTAGCATTGTTTTTAAGGCTCCAAGTAAGTATAGAAACTCAGTCTTTCAGATTTTAAGGCAGATTTTTTCTCTACTTCAAAATTTCTCTCTCTAGTATTTCATAAGGTTGTTAATTTTGTCCCTAAATGCTTTATGCTTGGATGTAACTTTGAGCTGCCAGTGAGCTGACCAGTTTTGACGTTAATGTGTCAAGATGACAAAGATTTCATCACATTACACTGAACCAAACTGCAGTGTTGATCACAAGGACAGTGTTACATAAATAAAGAAAATGAATAATCTGTCAAGTTGTTTTACACACAGTCATGAGAACACACTAAAGAAACACGCACAAAATTATAAAACGTGGCTAGAGACGGAAAACTGCATAGTAAATGGAAGGATTTGTATTTGTGTACTTTTTTGGGGTTCCTTTTACTAAGGTGTGTTTAGTGTGTTTTCTTTTGGCTTAGATTAGATTTGGATAAGATTTCCATGTACTGAATGATAAAAAACTATATGACAGCTCATCTGTCTGCTTGTTCCTCACTCATTGTACTGCCTCAGGCCTCTGTGCGGCACTTACTGAGAATACGCCCAGACATGTCCGAGAACAAAATTACCACAGGCACACGCACACATGCGCACACTGCAGAGAAACAAGCACGCGCGTGCGTACACACGCACACACACTTAGGTGCAACACATACGCACACAGAGCCATGGACTGTGGTTAAACCAGCTGCTCAGCTGGTTTACAGCCCAGATAAGGCAGTCCAATCCCACTCTCACACCATGGATTCACTTACTAGTAAACTCAACAACAACCACTGACCTCAAACAGCCAGTTAGAAAAATCCTAAATGTACAAGCTGCCCTCTTTAATGTGCTGTTCTATCCAAAGTACAAATGAAATGGCAATGACACATTTGTAGTCATATCTAATTATACTCCTGGTTTGGGAACTGTTTACTGAAGACAGGAAATATTCACGAGACCCATTTGTACTTGGCTGCTTTATCATTAATTTTTTTTGACACAATTTTGCAATATTGATGACAAAGAAAAAATTGTTTCCCTGTAAATCCATCTACATATTCATCATCTTTACCATCATCATCTTTACCATCAGGAAATTGAAAAGATAAAATAAGAAAGATCAAGGGAATCAGGTGCAGTTCTCTGATCTGATGTTAATTCAACAAAATGCAGCAAACTAACACTTGTTCATAAACTCAGATACTGAATCTGGAGTGCATCCCCTTATTGTTTCCTCCGCCCTTGACAGTGGGGTTTTCCATGGTAGCAACCATTCTTATCTATGAAGAAATAGTCATCCTCAGCAGGATATAGGACAACCTCCAGAATTTATGGGCTGATTATGAACCGCCTTCACAACACGTAATAAATTAGGTAATCATGTAACTGCATATGTAGGCCAGTATATTAATGAAGCAAACAGCTTAACACAGTAATTTGTGATACTAGAGTTACCAGTGTCATCATGAATATGAAAACAGTCTCAGCCAATAATACAAATGCAGTCACTTTTTCATTAGGTCTCTTCACCATATATATGAATATAATTATTTGCAGTATAGCCTAAAACTGCATACATTAATCATCTTATGTGGCACTAATGACCTCTCTGCCCTTCTGCATGTGTTAAGAATGCATCAGGCATGAAAAGCAGCAGCAAGACATCTGTAAAAACAGATAGCAGAACATAAGAGAACATTAAACATGCAGTTACTAGCTCATCTGTACTGTCAAAAGAAAAAAATCTGTACTCTGGTTAGAGCTGCCAACTACATGTAACTCTAGATAAATCATGTAAAAGGGAAGTATCATAATAAGAAAAGGAGAAATAACTTTAAAAAGTGGAACGTATATATTAATATATATATATATACCTATAAGCTAATGGGGTTTTTTTTGACAATAAGAAAGAGAAAGCAAGCAAAGCCAAAAGGTGCTGCCACAGAAATCTTTTTATAGAATATTGTTAAATTTACCCACATCAAATATGAGGAAACGTTGCTTGGGAAAAATAAATATGGCGTGTTTTATTATGTTATATATGCTTATATTTTACTGATAAATGACCTCTTTGGGTTGTGCCAATCATGTCTATAATGTCTCAGAACTAAATGCAGAAGTAGGACATTTGAGTACCAGCAACCCTTTTATGGAGGAAGGCATGGTGGCTAAACATCAAAATGTCAAACATTTTGTATATTTCTAGTAATTAAATTTAACTTCTTAACTATGATCAACATCGGAGCTGCAGAGATGATTCATGCAATGGCTGATTTGATAGATAAATGTGAAAATGTGCAGCTTTTCTTAGTCTCACATTGTAGTAAATGCTTTTTGGATTTTTATTGTTTATAATTGATTGTTTTCAAATAAGAAAATCAATTAACCAAAATACTATACTTCCTCCTAATAACTATGTGAGCTTTTCAAAGTTGAATCTATCTATCGCAGAAGATGAGAAACACTCATGTATTTTCGTTCCACATTGCTAATTATTTAACCTGTTTTTCAATTGAAATGATAACATTCATTGTTTTTCCTGTGCTTCCAAAATACAGCCTGAGTGTCAGTAGTGCCAACAATTTATTTGGCTTGTGGGGGAACGGAGAGAAAAGAAAGTGTACTGCTGTATGTTTAAGTCATCTACAGTTCATATCATACTATAAAACAGCAGGGCAGAATGAGACCATTTCAAATCTTTTGAGTTTTCATACACTGACTTTGAAAACAGACTACAGTTGGTGTCAAGGAAT